ACATATTGCATTGTATGTTCACCGCCCATAGTGAGATTTCTTTCTGTCACCACATATTTGACCCTTTTTACGCCGTCTACTTCCCACCTTCCCCCTCCTCCTACCCTTTGGTAACCAGTATAGTCTATAGTCCATGTCCATGAGTCTCTGTTTATTTGGCATGTTTGTTTATTGCTTTTATGTTTAAATCCCACATATAAGGGAGATCATGTGGTTTTCAACTTTTTCTGTCTGGCTTATTTTGCTTAGCATGATCATCTCGAGATCTTTGTGGATTTAAGGGGGATGTAAAATGGGGTTCAAACGAATAAAATAATTCTGTTCCCCAACATTTGGCCATCCACGAAACTCAGAAACACAACTGAAGCTAAGATGTGGACAAAGCGCCCCCCACCCCCGCCTCCATTCATGCCCCCCGGCTAACTCTGATTTCACACATCCCAAACGGTTACTCCTCAGGCTCCTCATCCCTACTAATAAAAGTGCTTTCACTGGTAAAAGAAGGCAGCTTTTACTCAGGGAAAAGCTGGTACTTAACAAAGATGAGCTGTGGGTCAGAAGACTCTTCACAAAATGTATCTGACACGCGCTGTACCTGTTCTTAGCAAAGCACTAGCACAGCCCACTGCAGCGAAGGGTCTATAAATGGAGCACGGAGCCAGTTGGTGGGACTGAATGATGTGTGCTTTGGCCTAATAAGAAGAAAGGCTTCCAGGAAAAGACAGACGGGTTATTTCTCCTCTCCCTAAGCTATTAGCACAGGTGGAGCCCATGAGTTCCATTACGTTGCATTTATGTTGGTTAGAATTAAAAAAACAAGGAAACAGTGTCATCACGGAAGTGAAAGGGGCCCTGAACTTCTGGAAATCTGCTTATTTTCATTCGTTTCTCCAGGGATCTTTATTTAGGAAGGATCAATGTCCTCATCATCTCCTTCCCTCCAACCACTACCACTGTTTTAACTCTACTCAACACTTCAAGGCCCAAATAAATTCTGCCTTTTTTTCTTTTGTAACTTTTCCTGTGACCTTCAATGGCTGTGCCCTCTCTCCTCTGACCTTCTACCATTAACTTCCTCTTGGGACATTGCTCACATTCTGCCTGATAAAGTAATTGGGTTCAAGGCATTTTCACCAGGCTGAGCTACATATAAGCAGGATCTAAGTTTTACTGTTATGTCCCATGTGTATCTAGGTTGGTGCCCAACACACAGTAGGTGTTCAGCAAACATGCGGATAGGGAAAAGTTAGATTGCTGGATTGTTTAGACCATCTCTAATCTGCATATTCTAAAAGCTGATCGTCTGAATACAGAGTATAGGTACACTGTTATCACGCTCGCTCTCCTGGCCCAGGGCCTCTACGCTTCCTGTTTCCTCCCCAAAGAAGCCTCTTCCTGAGACATTTTTTTTTCTCTTTTAAAGTTATTCCTAGTTCTGTCCGGCTGATCTGTGCTCAAATGGTACCTTCAAGGAAAATTCTTCCTGTCTAGCCTACCTAAATTTGCAACTCCCCCTTGCTATGGTTTGAGTGTCTGTGTCCCCCCAAAAAACTCACATGTTGAAATACTAACCCCCAAGGTGATGACTTTAGGAGGTGAGGCCTTTGGGAGCTGCTAAGTCATAAGTGTGGAGCCCACATAAATGGGATTAGTGTCTTATAAAAGAGACCCACAGAGCTCCCTGGCCCCTTCCGCCCTGTGAGGATGGAATTCAACATCTGCACCCAGAAGAAGGCCCTTACCAGACCATGCTGGCACCCTGATCTCACGCTTCCAGCCTCTGGAACGGTGAGAAATACATTTCCGTTGTTTATAAGGCACCGAGTCTGTGGTGTTTTGTTACAGCAGCCCGGCTGGACTAAGACACCTCCTCCCCTCCCCCCCTCCAGAAACCCCCATCCCTTTTTCTGAAATTTTTTTCTATATATCGCTGATCATCATTTAATAATACACTGTATATTTCACTTTTTTTTCTTATTTTCTATTCCCCACCTCAAATCCTAGAATGTGAACTCCATGAAGCAGAGATCTTTATAAGTTGTGTTTACTCCTTTACCCACTAATGCTTAGAACAGTTCTTGGCAGGTTAAGCACAAGATAGGTGCTCAATAAATAGCTTTGGAATGAATTTTAAAAATGAACCATAAAGCATTTATAAAACACCTATTTCTACCTGCCACTGATCCTATACAAGACAACTGCTATAAGCCAAGAAACCTGATCAAATGCAGCCCAGTGTTTGGGGACCAGCAATGGGAGATCAGAGCAGGTGTCTTCCCTGATGCCATTGCCAAAGGTCAGGAACACGCTTCAGTCTCCCCTACCTCTGCCCTTAACAATTCAGGAACCACTAGTTGGATGAATGGCTAGACCGTAAGGCACTGATAATACATAATAAAAGGGTTCAGACATGGAAGAAATCACTTTACAGACACCACACGATGAGAAGTGTGGTAGTCAGCTTCCGAGACATCTCCCAGTGATCCCGTCCTTCTGGCCCTCACTCACATCTTCGCATGGTCTCCTGCCACAGTGAAGCAGGACTGCCTCATGGCACTGACAGAATAATTTCCAGGGCTAGGTCGGAAAAAGTATCTCAGCTCCAGCCGTGGCCTCTGGGATCCCACATTCTTTGGGAAGCCAGCTGTCATGCCGTGGTGACTTACAAGTAGCACCGTGGAGAGGACCACGTGGAGAGGAACAAATTCTCCAGCATCAAACTGCCAGCTATGTCAGTGAGCCACCTTGGACGCAGACCTTCTAATCCCGGAAGAGTCTTCAGATAGATGACTGTGGCCTCAGCCACAGTCTGATTTCAACGTCATGGGAAATCCTGAACCAGAATCTACGCAGGCCACTCTTGAATCCCTTATCCAAGAAATCAGGAGAGGTAATCAATGATTATTATTGCTTTAAGCCATCAATTTTGGGAGAGTTGTTACACAGCAACAGATAACTAACTTGTATTCCAGTACCTAATACAAGAGGTACTGGACAGGCCTTCCACAGAGGAAGTAGGCCTTAAAATAGAGGTATCAAAAGAACTGTAGGAAAAACAGGTAAAGCAGAAAAGTGAGTATGGGGTAAAACCATGAGCAAAGGCAGGCGCAAATGTTACACAGAAACCATACTCACACAGAACCTCAGGATGGGAAAAAAATCTTAAAGGTAATTTAGTCCAATTTTCATGTAATGCTAGAGTTCACTCTTAAAAATAATAAAACCAATGCAGGAATTGCATGAATTTACCTAAGCTGAAACCCCCCAGAAGGCCGAGTGGCTAAAATCCTCCTCCATATAGTGATGCAAATGAGAAGTATTTAGTCGAAACAGAGACCCTATTCCTAAGTTTGTATTGAGTTCATTCCTGAAAATAATTTAGTTAAGAATTGAGGGAGGAGGAAAAGGGAGAGCAGGAGAAGGGGAAGAGAAAGCGGAAAAAGACAAGAAACAAAAGAAGAACAGGAAGAAGAAGAAAGAAAAACAACAGCCATCAATAACAACTCTACACCAATAGGAGAAGAAAGAGAGGCGAGAAGGGAAAAAAATGGTTTATTGAAATCCCAATTTCTTTAAACACATCATCTCATTTTACCTTCACAACTCCACATCCTCACATTATTTTAGTTTTACTTCCTCCCTTCCTTCCAGAGAGACTTCCCCTCAACACCTTCAGATCTGAGGCAGAGAAAGTGGACAAACTACAGAGAAGAAGGATTCAGTTATACACTTAACTAACTCTTGCCAGGAAAAATCTGAGCGTATAGTTAAGGCTCCAGCAGGACCCAGCCAAGAAAGAGTCCACTCACAGATCTGGGACGTTCCCTTCTCTGAGGATATAAGGCCAAATGTCCTGGGCTGCCAATCAGGACACTTCTATTCAAAGGAAGGACATATCTGAGGTGGAAAAGAAAAAATCTACAGCACTCTCTGTCCAGTGATATGATGTTTTGCTAGTCCCATAGTCGGTTCTTTTAGAGGCTGGATCTAAGGACCCCGATTGGAGGAGGGATTCCCCCACAAAGCTAATTCCCTCTTTGAAGAAGTAGATATAAGCATTTGCCTTCAACCAATGCGAAGCATGAGAGAATTGTCCTGTAGGTAACCACTTCACAAGACACTGCTGTATGTACAGTGGTATATGGATAGGATGAGGACAGCCAGGTCAGGCCAGAGGGGGTCGAGCTAGCGACCACCCCGCCCCATGCCATCCTCCTATGAGAAGAAGGGATATGTTGAATTAGGATTAGAGAATGTAGTTTTAAAACTTACTCAAGGTATTAAAATAGCTGGTTCTACTTCTGAGAAAACAAACCGAGAAAATTACATTGAAAAGGGACGCATAACTTAGAGAGTTGGGGGGATGTAGCATATACCAGTTAAAGGCCAACAGAGTAATGGTCAAAACATCTCAACATCCATAAGACCATGAAAAACAGGCCTTCGACAGATACCATAACAATGGCATCGATGATGGACATGAAAGGGTCGCCAAAGTCTGGGAATGCTCACGAAGATGTCATGTACGTGGTGGAGACAGGGGGTCAATGGAACATGCTGAAATGGAAAGAGGATGCGCTCAAGAAGCTTCTATGGATAAGAGTGGCTATCAAAATTCTTTCTCATCAAAAAAAAAAAAAAAAAAAAAAAAAAAGATGTGATCTCTTGAAACAACGGACTTATTGGAATTACCAACGGGCCATTCTGATTTGCAAAAGGTCACTGTGCTGTCCAATCCACAGGGTCAAAGAAAGCAATTATTACCATTCGGGAACTGCAAGTTCCCAGAGAACACGGCCTCAGGTAGAGAAATGTGTCCTGGGCCTCTCTGAATTGCATTTCCCCAGAGCCCATGCACCAGGCCTTACGCAGTGTCAGTAGGTAGGTGCTTAACGTGGGTGCCGACAATAATATACCACACACTCCCAACACCCTCAAGGAGCTCCAAGTCAAAGGTGCCAAGTCCCCAGGTGCCAAGTCCCAAGTCCTGCTGAGTTTACCATCATTGAAGCTGTCACTGCTGGTAACGTGGGTGAATGGTGACTGGACCCGAGGCTCCTCGCACAGGGAGTAGCTGTGTTCCGCCTGGATGAGAGGCGCTGGGGATGTTGGCGATGGCTCCACCTCCATCGACACGCTCTTCTCTGAGAGGAAGGGATCGTTCAAGAGCTGACCCAAGACATTCTGGGAAAACTCATCCAGAAGTTCCGAGAAGTGCTGCAGGAAACAAAGGAGGAAGCACTCAGTTTCTCTTGACTATGATCTGATATTTACACACATATTTTAAGGCAAATATGTCAACCACAGTTTTGAATGGCGTCCTTTATATACAATGTCCAGTCATCTACGGCTGTGTAGCAAACCACCCCAAGTTTTAGCTGACTTAAAATAACCACTATTTATTACTTCTCACCAATCCGTGGGGTTGGCGGGGTGAGTGAGTTGATCTCTTCCAGGTTCACTAGTAGAACCATAATGAGCTGGAAGGTTCACTGGGCTGTACTGGGACCGCTGAACCTTTTGCTCGATCCCTCACATGGCGGTAGAAACATTCCAAGAGGGAGGAAACCAAAGCCTCGGGGGTCGCACATCATCGCTCCTTCCACATTCTTTGGCTCAAAGCGAGTGACAAGGCCAGATTCATGGGGTGGGAAAACAGACTCCACTTCTTGACGAGAGGAATGGCAAAATCACACTGCAGACGAGTGTGGACAGAGGACAGCGTGACTCCCTAGAGGCCGTCACTGTAACTACCTATGCGTTTTGCTTCGGGAATATTTTTAAATAGCTATCCTGTATTTCTATTGCATAATGGTGTTATTCATAGCAAGGTGCCAAGTTCAAAGGCATCAGAGGTAGCTCCCCTCTGTTCTCCCCACCACCTGGACTTTTCTGCTCTCCAGTTTTTCCTTAATCTCCTTAACCTCTTCTTGCCCTCCATCTCTGACACGGCCAACTCCCTGGCCCCCACCAGGCCATGAAGAAGACACAGGAATGGTCTGCGCTTATATTCCCAGGGATTCTGACATGCCCTGTTCCACTGTCCCTGGTTAAAAGAGCTGCAGCCCCATCTCCTGTGTGTCACTGAAAGGAAGATATTCATGGTACGAGGGCCTATAAAGCAGGGTCTCATAACCGTGGGCTGGATAATTCTTTGTTATGGGGTGAGGTTGTTCTGCGTGGTACCGGATGTTTAGCTGCATCCCCTGCCTCTACCCACTCAGTGCCAGCAGCACTCCCCTAGTTCTGAAGATGAAAAATGTTTCCAGACACTGCCAATTGTCCCTGGGGAAGAAAAATCATCCTTGATTTAGAACCGCTGCTACAGAGTATATCAAGAAGAATAAAAATTCAATTCGATTCAATTCAATTCAATTTAGAAGTCCATTTTGACACCAGCCATTAGAGCCACCTCTTCCTTCTTAACATTCCCTGATTCACAGACTAACATGCGTCATCCTTACTGATTAAATTTTACGGACACGTCTGGTATAGAAAGGAAGTTACAAAAACAGATAGAGCAATAAGAGAACTAATTGAAAATGGTGATGCTTACTTCGGGTAGGCATTGAAAACTCCTGGGATTCACAGGAATGAGTCCTATCGCTGAACTGACTAAGCAATAAGAGAACTAATTGAAAATGGTGATGCTTAGGGTAGGCATTGAAAACTCTTGGGATTCACAGGATTGAGTCCTATTGCTGAACTGACTGAAGTGTCAGTGAAGGTGTTATGAAAATGGTTATAGCTTGGGAAAAGGAAAGCAGGAGGTGACCCTCAGGTTATAGCTCTAAGGTTAGGCAGTGGTAGGACAGACCCCTCCTTTCATAAAGGAGAGAAGCAGACGACGGAGAGGAGGGCCTTGCGGGCTAGGTCCTTAAAGCAGTCAGACTGGTGGGTTCCGCCAGCATCACACACAGAAACGGCTGCCTGTCATCGGGACAGAATGCAGGAAAGCCACAGGCCTTGGGCACGTCCGAATAGGCCTCGGTCGCCTATGAGAACAGAAGAGTGGGTGGTGGGGAGAGAGTTCTCTGCGTCCAAACACAGTTAGAACGGAAAGGTCCTCGGAGCGCCTAGATTAACCATTTCCAAATACCAACTGTCTGCATCACAATTACCAAGAAAGTTTTGTTTCGGTCGTTTTATAATGAAATATTTTAAGCATTCGGATAAATTATAGAGAACGTTACCCTGAATAATTATATATTCATTCCTTTGGGAACAATCTTATTTTTCATGTTTTCTGCTGTAATCTTTTTTTCCTTTACTCTTTCTTTTTTAAGAAGTAAAACAGGAAGGGACTGTTAAAACTTCCATCCATTCCTCTTCTTCCGTCCCAAAATTAACTACTATACTTGGTGTTTATCACTCCCATTCAAGTCTTTTACACTTTTACTACATATGTATGGTTCCATTATATACATATGAATTTTTTAACTTTAATTAAATAGTACCATACCACACACATCCTTCTGTAATTTTATTCTTTCAAAAAAAATTTTTTAGATTCATTCTTTTTTACACATGTAGCTCTATTTCATTCATTTAAATGTCTAAATTATATTTCATTGTATTTACCCATTTCCTCTTGAGGGGTGGTTAAAGATTTCATTATTATATATGATACTGTAATAAACATTCCCAAACGTGAAGAGAAATTTTTAAAAAATACAAATCCTGCAACCCACCTTCAGAGATCTGACTTAGTCAGAGGCATCTGTATTAAAACCACCACCACCATGTACGTATGATTCTAACGCTCGCTTCGGGTTTTTGACCACCGAAGGTTGACCCATCTCCACTCACCACCCCTCCCTCTACACCACTTTATAATTAAGTCTCTAGAAGTTGACAAAGTTCCTAGAAGTTTAGATCTGCCCAAGTCAGAGGAAGAGTCCTGGATTTTGCAACTACCATTCGCTAAACTTTAAACAGACACTGGGGATATAAAATAATAAATAACGATAGAAAAAGCCCATGCCTTCCCTGAGCTCGCCACTTAGGTCAGCACTTCTCCAACTTTTATGTGCTCTGAATCACCTGGGGATCTTGAGACACAGATGCTGACTACGAGTCTAATGGTCCTGAGATTCTGCATTTCTGACCAGCTCCCAGGTAGGGAAGAGACAAACAGCTGCAAGGCTAAGATTAGAATCCAGGTGTTCTGACTACAGGTCAGGGTCTGATTCCCTAAGCGGCTCTCCAAAGGCAAATTTACTGGTTGCCTGAGGGTGAATCTTCTGCAGGTGTCTGAGGGAGTTCCTTTCAAGACTAAACATAAGGTAACGAAAAGAGAAATAAATAACACGGAATGTGAGATGCAAGGCAGGAGCTGAACTTACAGTTCCTGTGTTTCCAAGCCACGATTCTGTCCCCTGACCTATAATGTCACCCCTGGCCAGCTGTGTTGGCCCTGCTAAACCTCTGGAATCCCACTGTCCTGAGAGGCAAGCCTCTTTCCCATGGACGCTGCCAGGCTGGACCACTCTGCTGACACTGTTTTCTTTCTCCTGTGCAGCACTAATGAATGTTTTCGTGAACATGCCCTGGATAACCAATAATAAACCTTCTCTAACTCGGCTAGCCATCCCGAACTCCCTCTACTTTGGATTTTGTAATAATTATCATGTTACCAAACAATTTAGCCC